AGTGAGAAAACATCAGTGTACTAGGATTTAGCAGCAATAGGAACAGATAGTGCAACGCCTCTCGACTCCCACTGCCTTCTCTTGCATTTTCTCAGTTTCTAAGGGCAAAATGAAAAATGCTCAGTGGCAGCAAACAGCTCTGCTACTCGCTGTATGTGATGACTTAACTCCCTTGCTTCCTAACAGGGGCTACAAGGAAGAGGCAGAGGCAAGTAGGAACTGAAGTACTTGACAAAAGGAAAAAACCTCACACAAGCTCAACTCCTGAAGAGAACTACTGTGATATTATGGGAAATGTTACTCCATAATCTTCACATTGTATTTTCACATAGATTGACAGTTCTACATCTAATGGTTCACAGGGGAGCAAACTAAGACCTGGAGAAGTGAGGTCCCATCAACACCACTTTGAATACCCTTCCTTCTAGAGCACTTCAATGCGCTTTCAAACTTTCAGGTCTCTAGGTTTGATGTTCATTCTCATGGCCTCATCAAATTTTGAATCATAATTGCATTTGCTAGTTTAAGATTTTCCTGGCAGTGTTGTTCAGCATTGCTCCTCCTGAGACCAAGAAACTTTGTGAACCAGCAGTAAAAAAGGAGAGGGTTTTTGTACTCTATTATACCAAGTGCAAAGTCCTCATTTTCTTATGCTGCTTTGAAAACTGTAAACACATGGGAATCTAAGAGGTTTGAAAAATACCAGGATGGCAAGATGCAAATGCTAGTTATCAAAAGTAGATAAAAAATATGCCAATGAAATGGGGGGGAGGGGGGTCTCAAATGAAACCATTACTTGAACAAGGCTACTCAGATTTCCTATCCTACTTGTATTCTTACAGGAAAAAAAAAAAAAGTAAGCTTGGAATCACAATGGTATCACTTTAGAGGTGCCAAGGTTACTCTTGGAGCTGCTTCTTGCCCAAACAGCTACGCTGTGTACCATCAATCTGCTTCTGGGGTAAACAGGATACTGGCTACTGTCCGAAATTCAAGCAATACAAACAAACAAGAAAGAAATCTATGTTAGATTTGTAAAGTGAAAAGAGACCTTGCCTAGCTAGAGAGTTCTAGGGCAGTGCTGAGCCCCTGAACCTGCTAGGGACACTTTTCCACTCCCAAGAGATTGTGCTTGCCTTTGAACTTTCAGCCATATAGAAAAAAAACACTGAGTTGAAATGTCAGCATCATCTTGGATTAAAATCAATCAGCTTGATGCATGATTGCAATAGCTAAACCACTTCACCTCTGCACTGCCCTCGTCCATATGTTCTTTATATCAGCAGTCAGCAGACTGGGTGGCTCAGTGGATTCATTTCCTGCCCTAGGCTTGGGCTCCAGTTTAAACAAAACAAAAAAACCCTCTGAAACTGGAAAATAAAAATTAGCATCTACTGACAGTTAAATTCGCCAGACTTGTTTGCATTGAGTCTCTTTCTCCATCCAAGAAAGTTGCAAGAAACCCTTCAGGAAGCCCTGGTACCGCTGGCGATTTTTAACTATCTACTCAACTAGCTGGTCACAGTTCTACAAAAACAATAAAGGAATTAGAGACCTTTCAAATGTTGACATACTTTTGAGTGAGGGGAAAGTAATAAAGGGAAGGGGGGAGAGCCCTAAGCAGTGTTGACTTAAAAAGGGAAACAGGTTGGAAGCAGCCATCCCCACCTCAGTAAATTAACAGCCCACTGAGAAGCAAAATCTCCACCAAATTCTAGAGCTGGGCTTCCTCCAGACAATGCTGCTCTTTATCAGCTACAATGCAAGAGTTAAATTCCCAAGATAATTTAAATCTAAACAATGTGCAGCCTTCAGCATTAATACAGGTACCTGCCAGCTGGTGACAGTTAAGTGGTTACTTTCTCAAGCTAAACTTATTAGCTAAGGGTTGAGAGACTCAGTAATAATCAAATCGCATTTAACAGCTTGCTCTGTCAGAGCACAGTATGTTACTGTGGAAGAGGAGTTTTCTTATTGAAGGTGTGTTACAGCAGGCCAGCCTCATCAGGAGTCTGTCATATTTTGGGGCTAGACATCCACACTGGACTGTTTCCTTTGCAAAAGAAAAGTGGACCTGCCATTTGGGAGATAACAAGAAAGTATGCATGTTGGAAACAGCTGCACTGCAGCCTTTGAATAATTTCAAGTTTTTTGACTTGGTTTCCTTGGTTCACCTTCCCATCATCCTATCTTTGTTCATAAAATACTAGAAGAAATAAATTTTAAAAGGGCAACGAAGGCCTCATAAAAGGACAGCTAGTAAAAATAATCCATCCTCCAGATAAGGAACAGCGGTTCCCTTAAAGACACTGTTCCAGAACAGCACCAAAAAGGAGCAAGTATCAACCCTGCTCACTAGGTATTAAAGAAGAAATCAATAGATACGATCTCCCAAGCCTCAAGATGCAAAAAACACCATCAGTCTGAAGACGGGACCCCGCACCGTGACCATGCACACACAACTCCCAAAACTGCTCTGTGTGCTTGATCAATCCATTATCTCCTGGCTTAGTCAGTCCTGCTCATGAAAACGCAACCTTACTATTCCAGGGCCCATTGGGAAAGAGAACTTTTTACTTCAGTCTCTGGAAGCAGGAGACATCCTGAAGTGGAAGCTCAGAGCCATTGTAGTCGCCATTCTACTGACACATGGACAGCAATAGCAACCATCAGAGAATCAGAGCATTTGCAACACAGTAAGAAGGTAAGTCAAAAATAGTACAGGTCCAATCTGCCTTCAGTCATACCTACCTCACATCAACTTCAAAAGCACCAGCTGCACATACAAGTAAAATGAAATATTGAAGAGAAATCTAACTACTACCAAAAAAAGATGAAAGCATTTGAGGTTCTACCCTGCTAATTTGCTGTGGCTTCCTAACTGCACTGGTTTTGTTTTGTTTCAGTTTAGTTTTCTGTTTTCTTTTGTCTGCTGTTTCCAGGAAGGACCCACACAGATGTAAGCATCCTACCCTCTCAGAGGAACTGAATTTGTAGCAGGAGAGAGTGCAGAAAGGAAAGGTCACAAAAGGCTTTCTATCAGGTTGCCAAAAAGCCCTAGAAAACTCTTTTCAGCTTCTTTTACTTACAATTCCAAGTGACACTAACATTAAGAATTAACATAAGGAATAAGTAAATACTTGAATTTTAAAATTGATGCCTCTGGACAGCTTGAGGTGCTGTGCACATGACTAGTGTCAACACTGCTGCTAGAAATTAAGTGGCACAACTCTGCCGTACTAGAATGGGATCTTTTTATTTTCCTCCTTCTTTCAAGACTATGGGACTGTCAGTAGTGCCAGATGTTTTAGGCAGGAAAAAAAAAAAGGTAAAAAGAATCTCACACATGAAAGTGAAGGCTTGCTACTGGCTTTCTGGTCACACTCCGCAGAACGTATCCAAGCCCAAAAGAACAGTTCCACCTTGAAAACTGACTGCATAAAATTGTCACCTCTTTCCACAAACCTGCTCCTGTGAGATCGCTGCTGACTTTCTCAAACAAGCTTATGTTGGCTTTTTATTTCCACTGAACTCTGCTGAGACAGATCTGGCACTGTGGGAGGGAGCTGGATTCTCTCCTTTACACCAGCAGCACCACTAAGCTGTAATTACTCACACCTGTCCAAACCTACAGGCACCAACAGGCTGCACACACAGGCTTCTCCGGTCCATGGTCAGATCCTCGGTCAGGCTGAGCTGCAGCTACCTTGGAAATAACATTTCTGCCACAATCCTTAGCATCCCTCTCCCCTGCAGTGACAGGTAAAAATCCAAGCTGCATACAGAAGCTCCTCTTTACCAGGCTCACTTCTTTTAGCAGCAGGCTAAAATGCAAAGCACTCTCTTGCAGACAGCAATTCAGGGTAGCTTTGCTGCTTTGTAAGACTTCTCTTGAGCTTCTGGGAAGCTATTGTTTCCTCAGCAGCCTCAACTGAGCTGCAGTCTGCAACCACCATTCTTTATGACTGTAACGAGACAACTTCCTAGTTAGAAATTTGTCTGAATTGTGTGATTAGCACCAAGACATTGCAGCACAAAGAAAACGAGCTGCAGCTACAAACAGCAGACACAGAGATGTTGCACACCCTCAATGACCTTTCACCAGCCAGCAGAGGCAGGCTGAGTTGACCTAATACGAATGAACAGAAAACTCAAGGCTCAGCTTCCCTCCCATTCATAAGCCATGAATACTCATGACACAGATTCAGCAGATACTTTAGTGCCTAAACCTGAAACTCAATGAAGAAGCAGGACTTGTTTCAAAGCCCCAGAAGCAACAGTTAAAGTAGAAAATATTAGGCAGGAAAATGCAAAACATGCCCTTGTTATCCATCATGATGAGAAAGGGAAAAGGCTTTCCTTTCTTCCAGCCCTGGAGAGAGCCCTGTGTTTTCCTGTGTGTGAAAGATCAGATGCCAAACCCCGAACTGGGTTTTCACACGCACTGTGCAACCTGAATGTTGCACCAATAAGTCAGGGGGCAGGTGGGAAAGGGAAGCAAAGGTGCCTGATTTAATTCAAAGCGCTCTGGGAACACATATTCTTTGTGTCCAGACCTTACAGGCATAACTCTTACAAGCAGTCATCCAGGGACCAGCTTTCACCATCTACAGCAACTGATGGTGATGACAGTGGGACGTGGAGAAGATAACACACTGATACAGAGAAAGCGCATTTTCTGAAGGACTGTGCAATGGGGATGCCAAGCATGAGCACCTCGATAAACAGGTCATCTCTGAGTACCCATTTCTTCATTTATTTCCCTCTCCCTGTTCAGGTTTCTTTGCAGGCATTCAGTATGGTCTGTTTTCCAAGACCACCTTATGGAGTTTGTGTGTGAGCATTTAGATAATGATGGGGAGTGAAGAGAATAGGTGATTTGCTCCTGTGTTTGAGAGGCATAGAGCAAATTAAGGAACAAAACCCAAATCAATGCAGCCAGTCCATCCACATATCCCCTCACTGCTCTGTAAGGACAGATGCATTGTTGGATAACTTACCCTCTTCACAGTTGCTCCCCGTGAAGCCAGGACAGCACCTCCACTCCAGAGTGGTCACAGTTCGGTAGGACATTTTGTACGTGGGCCTGATGAGAGTCCTGTAACTAACACAAAAAAGAAGTCAGTAGAATGCACTTACCTACTCAAGGGCGGTGTTTCTACTAATTCATAGGACATCTTCCTGCCTGGATGTATTGATGTTGAACAAAGGCAAGCGTTAGCCTTTCCTCACTCAGTACTAATAGGGTTTCCAAAACATTACTCCCACAAAAACTGCATAAATCTCTTGGGTGTCTTCCCTTCTCCCACCCCGACCACTCACATCTGGGGTGTATCTACACATCAGCATGACAAAGATCATCACAACGCAACACTACATCAGTGATCTCCATGGAGCCTTTTTTCCAGCTAGCTGACCTGTGCCTCAGTTTTCCCCATCTGAATCAGGGTTACGCTC